TTCCAATGACAGCGCGTGTGTATCGCGCAGTCAACGAGGTCAAATTGTGCTCTTTTCGCCACTGCCAATGTGGTGATCTCAGTGGCTAGCAGGCCCTCAGAAGTCAGAGAAATTTGTCTGATTTGATTGGAAAACTCTGAGATTTCAGATTTTTTTGAGAGTGTACTCTGAGAAATTCAGATTTTTTTTGGCTTGAACTCTGAGAAATTCAGATTTTTTTTATAGGCTGACTCTGAGATTTCAGAGATTTTCGTAAGTGTACTCTGAGGAATTCAGAGTACAATCGAGTACCGACTCTGATAGAAACTACCTGTGCACCGACACCCAGGATTACCCGTGGTACATTGTACCTGTGGGCGACGCCGCCCTGCGGCGCGATGTTTCCCTCGTACAGCTGGAAGATTCCCCCGCCCTGCGGTGCGATGTTTCCCACGGTGTAAGCTCCAGCACACACTCTGTTACAGCACTGATTGGTCCGTTTGGCAGCTTTTGACTGCCATCACGAACCCCACCACCACCAGTGTCCACATTGCTGCAGCAGTTGCCACCCACGTAAATGTGATGGCAAGGTGACGTTGCCAAGAAGACCAGTTAATTGGTCCCTTTGGCAGCATCGTGTACCACACGAAACATTCCTCCCAGCTGTGCACGGCAGACGCGCCTCGTCGTTGCCGTGCATGCTAGGCAACCAGCGACCTGAGGCACGGATGGCCCCAGTCAGTTATAGGGCCATCCGCATCGAGCTAGGGTTTCATCCCCATCCCTCAGCTCAGCTTCTACTCACGGGGCCCCTCCACTGCCCAGTTCAGTTGCCTCAGAACCGCCTCACGTTCCTGCTCGGCAGGCTCTCCCAACTCGAGACCATGGCTCAGCCCGACAATTCCGCTGCTTCCGATGACGACGACCCTGGATCGCAGCCTGCGTTAACAGGCTTAGATTTCCTCCTCAGTCACCTAGCTCTCGAGAAGGTAGCACGCGCCGAGCCCGATTCAGTCCCCACCTTGAAGGAACCTCCAGCACCCGTGATCTCAACTCCCGACCCTTTGGAAGAGTCACCTGCGGAACCAACTGTCGTTACGGCATCGCACCATCCCGCTTAGACCACGGCGCGAACCTTCCGCCTCAAGCAGGCGACATTGAGCTTCGCCAAGCCGTCAAGTTCGACCGCCGACGTCAACAATTCTCCCCGCACGGCTGACCGTCCGCGACCACGCCTTACCGTTAATCTGGCCGAGCTCATTGAAGGGCTGTACGATGATGCCATCGACAAGTTCAAGAGTCAATGGCAAGCGCGGTTTCCCTGGCTGCAAATCACCAAAACCACCTCCGGCTTGCCTGCCTTCAAGTGTACTGTGTGTGCAGCTTATGCAGGCGACGGAGGCAAGTGCGGGAGACGCGGCAAAGGAGCCACGGACTTGCAGACCCAGTCGTTCCGTAAACACGCGGGCACGGCGAAGCACAAGCTGGCGATGGCGAGACAAACAGCAGTGCAGGAGTGCGGAGCGAGGCAGCCGCAGATCGACCAACATCGCGCCACCACGGACGGAGAGCAGTCGCGCGTCGTCGCCCTTCTCGACTCCCTGCTGTTCATCAGCAGGTCCGATGCGCCGATGGGGATGTGGGTGAAGCTTGTGCGTTACCTGGCCGAGAAGGGCGTGCCTGGCTTCCCGAAAAACGGCTATGGCACCTACTATACCACGTAAGTGCAATTGCCGGATGTTATTTGATGCATTTTCTTGATCCTGTTTGATGCATTTCCTGTCTGATTGATCCGGGAGTTAATGTGCAAACTCCTGTCACTGCATGCAGATACGGTTTCGGGGAGCTGACGCAAGCGACTGCGACATGGCTGCAGACCACCCAGCTGGACCACGTTCTGGCGTCGCCCTTCATCGGCATCGCTATCGACGAGAGCACTGATAGGTGCAGCGGGAAGCACCTGATCCTCTTCGTCTCGTTCATCCGTGACTACAAGCTGGTCACGGAGTTCATGGCTCTTCTTACCGTGGAGAAGGCCGATGCAGCTTCCCTCCTCAGCGTTCTGTTGTCACACCTGCAGGCTGTCGGGGTCGACCTTCAGCGCATTGCGGGGATCAGCACCGACGGTGCCAATGTCATGATGGGCAGCAGGTCCGGCCTCACCACACGCCTCCGACTCCGCATCCCCCATCTGGTGTCTTCTCACTGTATCGCGCACAGGTATGTGTGTATGTTTGTGGTTTTCAGTTGAGTGTTTACCGTCTTTACGAGTGCTTCTTTTCACCATGTACTAATGATGTTTGCATCTTGTGTACAGGGAGGCACTCGCGGCCAAAACGGCGGCCGATAAGGTTCCGGCCTTCAATGTCATTGACGCGGTCATTCGCACCGTGGCAGAGTATCTCGGCCGTTCGGGACCATGGCATCAACGGTTCATGGGGCTCCAGGAAGTCTTCGCGTCAACCTCCCTTGAGCTCCAGGGCATTCATTCCGTCCGGTGGCTTTCGCGTGGCGACGCAGTGCTCAGGCTTGTCGCGGTGCTGCCGGCACTCATTGTGATGCTCAAGGAGTGGGACGCAGACCTCTATGCTCTGGTTACGAGCTACAGGTTTCATTTCCTGCTCTTCTTCATTGCTTGAGCAGCTCAACATCCTGAACCGGGTGTTCCAGCAGAAGGAGGTGAGGTTGCGCATAGCTGTCTGTTGATGTTGTGTTGTATGTTTGTAAACCTTGATCAATTACTAACTACAGTGTTTTTGTTTTCTGTCCAGCTTGACTATGCTGGCGTGGCTGCCCAGATAAAGCGCACAACCTCCCACATCGAGAGCCGCTACGTTGATTGCGGCGACGACTTCGGTGGCGGGGTGAGCGAGCGGCTGTCCCCCTTCATCGCGCGCTATTGGGAACCCCAAAACCGGGAGGTGACTGTTGAAGGCATTGACTCGGACGGCCGCCCAGCACACTTCACATTCGTGCTGCATGAGGACAAGGTGGAGGGCTTCGAAGGGCCCGGGAGCCATGACGACTGCGTGGCACTCTGCACAGAGTTCGCGGAGGTGATTGTTCACCAACTCGAGCATCGCCTAGGTGACCTGGATGGGATGTCCGGGGTGAAGCTGTTCCTGCCAGACGAGTACCCGCTGGATCGAGCCGAGAGGAAACGGCGGTGCCTTCAGTGGCTTTAGTCGCTGGTCACCTTGTTCAAGGCCGACCAGACGGAGGAGATCGTGCCAGGTAAGCCTTATCATCCTGCATCGTTGCTCTGCGTCTGTACTGTGCGATGCATGTTTCCTTGTATGTGTTTAATCTTCCCGCTCTGTTTGTTAACTCATTCCAATATGCTGTTTACCCAATCCCGCCAGGAGTCAACAAGCGCCGTGCAGAGAAGGAGCTGCGCATGTTTACATCGGTGCTTGCAGCCTCTACCAAGGGTGAGCGCAGTTTCCACGCGGGCCTCACAGCCATGCTCAAGACGTCGGACTGGCGGGACAACTACCCCAACCTTGTTCATCTGTGGGTGGCGGTAGCTGTCCTGCCGCTGAGCACCGTGGAGTGCGAGCGGGGGATCTCGAGGCAGAACATTATCAAGTCGTGGAAGAGAGGCGCCCTGAAGGATGCTCGGCTGGGCGACCTCATGTGCATGAGCCTCATGGACTACGAACCCAACTGGGAGGAGATCGTGACGATCTGGAGGGCCTACAAGAAGCGCAAGCTAGAGCAGGATGATGAGGCATCCGATGATGATGATGGATTTTGAAGAGTAGCCTAGAGTAGATAGGATAGGATAGGATTCTGTAGCTACTAGTTTTGACTCTTGACTGTTATGTGCTAGTAGAATGTATGTACTATGTAGTGTAGGCCAGCTGTGCGTAGTACAACACCTCAGACTCTGGTATGTGGTAGACTCTGAAGGCATCAGACTTTTTTTTTAGGACGCTCTGAAGTTTCAGCCTTTTTTTCCAACCAACTTTGACCAAAACAGACTAACAGAGTGTACTAACTCTGACCAATCAGACAGGCAAAAAACGAATCTGAGGGCCTGGTGGCTAGAGTGATGCCACCTGGCAAAAACCCGAGGGTGGGGACATTCGCGTCCGCATCCATATTGAATGCCGAGCTGCAAAGTGCAACTGACACAAACATACACAACAAACATGAATTCGTTCTTTACATTCTTAACAAATTACCATGTATTAAGACCCGGGTCTTATATAACATGTGCAGGGCCTCAGATATCAGCGTAAAACACGCTGATTACGCTGATTTTGTAGCTCTGAATTTCGTTTTCCCTGAAAAATCAGTAAATGCTTCCATTATGGGCTGAAATTTCAGTATATGTGATTTTGCCACACTGACGATTATGTGTGTTTCTGAACAAGTAACACTGACGAATCAGCATACTTCAGTGCGTCACCCTGAAACGGACTTGACTGCGCGTGGGGGGGGGGGGGGGGGGGGGGTAAGTTACGCATGTACAGACTATACCTTTCCGTGTCACGAAACCCACACACTTCGCATGTGCTGCGCAGATACTGTATCAGGTGCGCTCCGAAGTGTGTGGACCTGATATCTTTCGCCTCGCTGGAACCTACGGTATCAGAGTAACAACAGCACACACCTTGCACTAGTGTTTCAGCTGTTAGTTTTTTTTTTTACACTGTTGGTTCAGTTTACTTATGATTTTCACACTGGCAAAATCAGTAAAAAAAAAATCCGTGAACGCTGATTTGGACACCTCGTTGGCCGGGGCACGCTGATCCATCAGCATACCCTCAAACCAATCTGAGGGCCTGAACATGTGACATTTGTGTAGACCCCCCATTTTTTTTGTGTGATTATGTTAAGACCCCCGGGTCTTATATCCGGGGGTTTACAGTAAGACTGAATAAATCTATACTCCAATCAGTATTTAGCTGAACGTGCATGGTTACAAGCTATCAATGGCACATATGCCAGCAATAAATCAAAATGTACTCCCTGCTGCTGCTACCAGGATGAGCAACCAGGTCTCCTAGTTTCCATCAGCCAGAGCTACTACTATATACAGCTGGAAGAGTTGTTCCCCCCCAGGCAGGCGAACCTTGATCGTCATGCAGCTTGTCACACCCATCTGTATTCAGACTATCCAGCAGTTTCAGCTCTCCCAAGTCATCAGGCAGAGCCTCCAGCTGCATGCATTTCCTCAAGTCCAGGACCTGCAGCTGGCTGAGCCGCGCAAAGTTGGGCGGAAGGGATGTGATACTGGTCTTGGAGAGCTGTAACTTGCGCAGGTGGGACAGCTGAGTGAGGGAAGCAGGGAGATGTGTGAGAGCTCGGCACTTGGACAGGGTCAGCTCGCATAATCTGGATAGTGCCCCGATTGAATCAGGAAGAGAAGGCAGCTTGGGAGCTGTGATCCCCAGGCATGTGAGCTTCTGTAGTGCTGCAATAGTTGCTGGAATTTCCATCAACTCAGGCAAGCTTATCTCCAGCCGACGCAGCTCCTGCAGGGTGGACCTGGAAAAGTCCGGAAGCTTGAAGAATCCAGTGCTTACTACTGTCAAGATGCGGAGGTGAGGGAGGTCAGCCAATGGGAATGGGAATTCCTCCTCACATGCCAAGACCAGATGCAATTCCTCCAATAAGAAAAGGCTTCTGGACAATGCAGACGGGAAAATCACCATGTTCATGCTCACTACCCTCAAGCTTGGAAGAGTGTAGGTACCCGGTAGACGGATGACCTGATTCGAACTCCCCAAGCTTAGGATTTCCAGCGAGCCAGGCAAGAATTCTGGACCTCTCCTCAGCTTCCCACACCCAGTCAGCTCCAACTGCTTCAGCCTCGTCAGATTCATCAGATTTTTCGGTAACGAGAAAAATCCGCTGCACTTGTCAACCACGAGGATTTCAAGGCTCCCAAGGGCTGAAACGGACTCCGGGAGTTTCTGGATCCGCCAGCATGAGAGAATGTAGAGCTCCCGCAGGCGCCTCAGGCTCCCCATGGCTTCTGGCACCTCAGCCAGCTCGCACTGCTGAAGCTCCAGCCTTGTGAGCGAAGGGAGTAGGGTGAACGAGGAGGGCAGCTGATGACAGTCATGATACATCTTCAGGAAGAGGGTCTCTAGGTTGAGGAGTTCTCCAATGTCATCAGGAAGAACCAGGAAGGGAGAGCCGGCGAGGCATAGGGTCTTGAGAGAGGTGGGAAAGCTGAGCGGGCCTCGCAACTCGTCACTATGCGTGCATTCGGTAACCACCAGCGTCTCTAGGGATTGCAACAGGCTGCACGAAGCAGGGAAGCTGAGGCTGAGCTTGTCCAGCACGAGCGTTTTCAGAACGGGCATCTCTCCGAAGCTGTCAGGCAGGCCGGTGAAGCTGCAGCTGGAGAGGATCAAGCTGCGCAGGCGGCTCAAAGAGACGACCTGCTCGGGATGTTTCATAAAACAATCGCTGATGCTCAGCTCCCGAAGAGATGGCAGGCGATCGCTGATGTCGTCGGGGAGATTCGCAAGGTCGTTGCACTGGTTGAGCGCCAGCCGTTCGAGCAGGGTGCACGGCGAGTCTGAAGGGAACATCACATCGAACCGCGGACAGCCATACCCCAGGTCCAGCGATTTGAGTGAGGAGAGATGTGCGAACGAGAACGGGTGAGGAGTTGGGGCTCTTGAAGATGAAAAGACTTCCCTCGGCACGGAAAGGCACGTGAGGCTTGCGAGCTGAGTGAGGTTTTGAAGGTCCTGGTAATCCCAAATGGTTGTTTGATGGAGAGAGCTGCGAGAGAGGAAAAAGCCTTGACTTGTGGAGCCGTTAACGCGGACAGATCAGCAACCGCGAGAGACCGGAGACGCACGAGCTGGTAAATCGAATTTGGTAGCCTAAAGTCCCTATGCAGGCAGCCCAGCGACAGATGCTCCAGTCGCGTGCAATGACGGAAGAAAATATCAAAGCCAGCTCGCGTGAGCAACATCTCCCCCGGCTGCTTGTACTCCTGATTCTGCACGATTTCTGTCCCGAGGTGGAACGTCGTCAGTTTAGGGCACGATGCAGAAAGACGAGCGAGGAAGGCGTCGTCGATGGGCTGCGCGCTGCCGTCGCTAAGGTGGAGGTGCGTGAGGTTAGGGAAGCACTCTACTGCCGCGTCGAGGTCATCGCAAGAAACGGCGCGATTTTTCTTAACTAGGAGCATGGAGACGTGGCGCTGAGCTAGGCGACGCCAGCGACGGCAGATTGACGCGAGGAGAAGATTGTACGCGGCGTCGGCGAAAGCTGGAGGTAAGTCGGAAACTGGAAACGCCTTATCGTTTTGCTGGTAACATGGTTCGTCTGCGTTTTCGCGAAGGAACCTTGGGGAAGGAAGCCCAGACAGCCGCATCGTCAGGGAGGCGAGAGGAGAGACGTTTGGAGGGCCAGAAGATCGCAACTAGAAGCTCGTCAGGAAAACTATTGATGTGCACACACGCCATATCAGTTTTGGAACAACGATAAGAAACAGGTCGATCAATGCCTTCTGAAAATGTTCAAATCCTGCACTAAGCGCTAAGAACGGTGGCTGCTGTCTAGCTGCTGGAGCTTCGGTCTCTCGTCGTGCTGCCTTCGCTCACTGGTTTGCCCTCTGCTCGGCTCGTGGCTCTGTTCTTCCCGTGCTGTCTGCTATCTCGAGATCGCCATTTCTGCATAGCCTTGAAATCACCATTTCTGCTTCGTCCGGAATCCCAAACCCCCATGCCAACCTCCCTCCCAAACCAGCCAAGGCTTGGCTTGGGGGGAGCGAACTCTGTCTGGTTCTTTCCCGCGCCACGCTCTTCCCGAACTTGCTGGTTTGGCACTTCCCCCCAGCACCTGCCCCTCTTGTTCCATCCCGCTACCACACCAACTAAGGGCGCGCACCATTTTGACGCTTTCGGTTCGTTTAACGTACCGGCCGTTGTTACTGCTTTGCCTAGTTTCGCATCAATATTTGCGAGGGAGTATACGACTTCGCACACAAAACGGAGCTGTATGCATGCAACTTTTTGGGGAACTAGGCGGTTGCAAGCAACTAGGCGGGTTGTGGTTGGAGCGCGAAACTAAGCTTGCAGAGCGAAAATCACGACTGTCGCATCAAGGTATGATGCGAAATCACGAGATTCGCAGAAACACGTAACACCCGACTGTTTCTGTGCGGTCTCTGGTCTTAAAAATTGCTCTACTCGACGGTTCGACTTGTTCATATCGGAGCCGTTCGTTTGTCAACCGTTTGAATAGAAACGCAACGTAAAAAAAAAACCAAAATGGTTACGCGCCCTAACCTTTAATCCCTTCTTTTTTAGTGGCTCTCCCTGCCAAAGCGTCGAACAGAATTTCAGATTCATTCGAAAAAGTGATCCTTATTTCCTTGTTATCGTGATTGCAAGACCATCCCAAGTAGTCCTCATCCTGGCACAGTAAAATCTGGCAACCGCTTTCTCTCTTTCTCTTAGTTTCCCGTGTTTTTTTGTTCCAACTCGTGTCACGGATTTCGTAGAGCAAATCTTCACCATCAACAGATTCTGATCATCAACGTCAATCTCTGATCATGGTAAGGCGATTAGGTATACCTCCCTCGTGGTTACCTTCCTTACTGACTCTTCTGTATCCTATTATTCTCGCTCTTGGCCTAAGAAACGTAATTATTAGCCTCTGGTCAGGATTTCGAGATGTCATCAGAGCTAGTAATTACTCTTTGAAATAAGGTATCCGTTCTTGTCAGAATTGACGCGACTCCTAGGACCAGTCCGCGTTTATTCTTCCCGTGGTAAGGACCACACGTGTTTCGGAACTAGGTGACTTTTGAGTCCACTCAAAAGTCACCTTGTCAGGATTGCGCGACTCCTCGGACCAGTCCGCGTTTATTCTTCCAATGGTAACGACCATACGTGTCTTTGGACTCACAAGGATATGTCACTCTTTTTCGTATTGTGGCCCGCACGATTTTTAAAAGCAATATATTCATCTTCTTGTGACCCGTACTAGTCACAGTTGCGTAAGACTGGCTATCACAGCGCGGTCCAATCTGGCCATACCCTAAATCCTAATGTAATTCGGTATTATCTCGGTTATGTGTCTATTTCCTTCCTCTCCCCCCCCTCCCCCCCTCCCTTTCCCGTCTCCTCTACCTCCCTCCCGTTCCTCCCTCCTCCTCCTTGCCTCTCTTTCTCTTCCTCCATGGCAGTATTTCTCGCTGTTTGGATGCATGGGCCAGCCTTTGAGTCGACTTTAAAGCATCCTCCTCCCGCCTCTCTTTCCCTTCCCTCCCTTTCCCTCCCCTCTCTTTCCCGTTTCTCTCTTTTCCTCCCTCCACAGCAGTATTTCTCGCCGTTTGAAGACATGGGCCAGCCATTGAGTCGACTCAAAAGCATCCCCCTCCCCCCTCTCTTTCCCTTCCCTCTCTTTCCCTTCCCTCTCTTTCCCTTCCTCCACAGCAGTATTTCCCGCCGTTTGGGGGCATGGGCCAGCCTTAGAGTCGACTCAAAAGCATCCCCCTCCCGCCTCTAATTCCCTTTCCTCTCTTTCCCTTCCCTCTCTTTCCCTTTCCTTTCTTTTCCTCCCTCCACGGCAGTATTTCCCGCCGTTTGGAGGCATGGGCCAGCCCCTGGGCTCCTTCGAGCAGAGCTTTCACGTCTACCCTGTCTCATTCATAGATAAGGTGTGGTGCAGTGTGGTGCGACGGGGTTCGGTGCCTCTCTTTCCCTCCCTCCACGGCAGTATTTCCCGCCGTTTGGGGGCATGGGCCAGCCTCTGGGGTCCTTCGAGCAGAGCTTTCACGTCTACCCTGTCTCATTCATAGATAAGGTGTGGTGCAGTGCAGTGTGGTGCGACGGGGTTCGGTGCCTCTCTTTCCCTCCCTCCACGGCAGTATTTCCCGCCGTTTGGGGGCATGGGCCAGCCTCTGGGGTCCTTCGAGCAGAGCTTTCACGTCTACCCTGTCTCATTCATAGATAAAGTGTGGTGCAGTGTGGTGCGACGGGGTTCGGTGCCTCTCTTTCCCTCCCTCGACGGCAGTATTTCCCGCCGTTTGGGGGCATGGGCCAGCCTCTGGGGTCCTTCGAGCAGAGCTTTCACGTCTACCCTGTCTCATTCATAGATAAGGTGTGGTGCAATGCGGTGCGGTGGGGCTCGGTGCAGTATGAAGCGCCTTAAAGCTCGTTCGAGCAGAGATTCACGTGTACCCTGTCTTCTTTATAGATAAGGTGTGGTGCAGTGTGGTGCGATGGGGTTCGGTGCAGTATGAAGCGCCTTAAAGCTCGTTGGAGCAGAGCGTCCACGTGTATCCCATCTCGTTCATAGATAAGGTGCAGTGCAGTGTGGTGCGATGGTGTTCGGTGCAGTATGAAGCGCCTTACAGCTCGCTCGAGTAGAGCTTCCACGTCTCGTTCATAGATAAGGTTTGCTGCAGTGAGGTTCGGTGCAGTATGAAGCGCCTTGCAGCTCGTTGGAGTAGAGCTTCCACGTGTATCCCATCTCGTTCAAAGTTAAGGCGGGTAATGCTGTTTAGTTCTGATCTGAGGGAAGAACTTTTGAGACGTCTTTAAGCCACTTTGTGTAGAGGTTTCACATGTAACCAGTCTCGTTCAGCAGTAAGCTGCGGTGGAATGCGGTGTGGTTCGATGCCCATTAGTGACAAAAGGAGTGCAGTACGGTACGATGTGATGTGAAGTGAGTACAGAGGCGTCTTCGAGCTCCTTTGATCAGAGCTTCCATGTGTACCTTCCTTCATAGATAAGGCGCGGTCCAGTGCGGTGCAGTGCAGTCTAATGACACGGGAGCACAATTCGGTGTGATATGAGCATTGAGGAGAAGCTCCTTTGAGCAGATCTTTCACGTGTACCCTGTCTCGTTCATGGATATTGCGGTGCGTAGTGGTGCAATGGGGGGCTGTGCGGTGTTCTCTTTCTCTCTTCATCTCTCCCTTCCTCTTGTTTCCGTCCCCCCTCCGTCCACACCCCCCCCCCCCCTCCCCCTCTCATCGCATTCATGTGCGGACTGCTGGCAGGCTCATTTGGAGAATGGCGATAAAGGTGTGTGGGAAGGAAGGGGTGGGTGGTGAAGGAGAGGGTGTGTGTGGGGGATGGGGTGTGTGTGCGGGGAAGGGGCGTGTGTGGGGGGATGGGGTGTGTGTGCGGGGAAGGGGCGTGTGTGGGGGGATGGGGTGTGTGTGCGGGGAAGGGGCGTGTGTGGGGGGATGGGGTGTGTGTGCGGGGAAGGGGCGTGTGTGGGGGGATGGGGTGTGTGTGCGGGGAAGGGGCGTGTGTGGGGGGATGGGGTGTGTGTGCGGGGAAGGGGCGTGTGTGGGGGGATGGGGTGTGTGTGCGGGGAAGGGGCGTGTGTGGGGGGATGGGGTGTGTGTGCGGGGAAGGGGCGTGTGTGGGGGGATGGGGTGTGTGTGCGGGGAAGGGGCGTGTGTGGGGGGATGGGGTGTGTGTGCGGGGAAGGGGCGTGTGTGGGGGGATGGGGTGTGTGTGCGGGGAAGGGGCGTGTGTGGGGGGATGGGGTGTGTGTGCGGGGAAGGGGCGTGTGTGGGGGGATGGGGTGTGTGTGCGGGGAAGGGGCGTGTGTGGGGGATGGGGTGTGTGTGCGGGGAAGGGGCGTGTGTGGGGGGATGGGGTGTGTGTGCGGGGAAGGGGCGTGTGTGGGGGGATGGGGTGTGTGTGCGGGGAAGGGGCGTGTGTGGGGGGATGGGGTGTGTGTGCGGGGAAGGGGCGTGTGTGGGGGGATGGGGTGTGTGTGCGGGGAAGGGGCGTGTGTGGGGGGATGGGGTGTGTGTGCGGGGAAGGGGCGTGTGTGGGGGGATGGGGTGTGTGTGCGGGGAAGGGGCGTGTGTGGGGGGATGGGGTGTGTGTGCGGGGAAGGGGCGTGTGTGGGGGGATGGGGTGTGTGTGCGGGGAAGGGGCGTGTGTGGGGGGATGGGGTGTGTGTGCGGGGAAGGGGCGTGTGTGGGGGGATGGGGTG